TGCATTCTGAACCCAACATCTCACACTATTGAAATAGTGTGATATTTACACACATGGATCTGGTTTATTTCATTTATAAGTATGGTTTCAAATGCATTCATTTACCTATGAAAGTCTTGAATCTACCCTTCTTTATGATTGAGTAGTACTCCATGATACAGAAAAAACACCATTTTAAAAAAAATCCATTCCTGGATTAATCAACACTTGGGTTGTTTTCAAAATTTAGTTATGGCTGGGGAGATAGCTCTGTGGTCTAAGCACCTGCCTGGCAAGCGCAAGGACCCAGGTTCAGCCCCCAGTACCACATACTGTGCCGCCGCGCCAGCCACTGAAACTGGGCATGGTGCTGCATCCCTGTAATCCCAGTGCTGGGGAAGCTGAGACAGGAGGATCACGCTGAGTCCAAGCTGCATAGTGAGACCCTATACCCAATAAATAAAGACATTTAAAGATTTAGTTATGACCAATTGTGCTGCTATAAACATGGGTGCAAATATATCATGGTGAAATGATGTTTTTAATTCTTCTGAGAAGGTACCCAGAAGGGAAATAGCTGGGTCAAATCGGACCTCTAATCCTAGTCTTTTCAGAAGTCTCCACACTGATTTCCAAAGGGGTTGTACAGTCTGCATTCCCACCGACATGGAGAAGGGTTTTTTTCTTCCTCCACAGCCCCACCAGCATCTGTTATTGTTTGATTTCTTGATGGTAGCCATTCTTTCTGGGGTGAGATGGCCTCTTGGTATTGTTCTAATTTGCATCTTTTGAATGACCAGTGATGTTGAACAGTTTTTCATATATTTATTTGCCATTCTCATCTCTGTATCTGAGAAGTCTATATTCATGTCAGATGCCATTTTGGATTGGGTCTTTGAATTTGGGGGACTTGGAAATTTGGATGATCTTTTCTGGAAATGAGCTTTTGGTTTCATTGAATTTTCTAATGTTTTATTTATTAATTTCTACTTTCATTTTTATGCTTATATTAAACTTAAATTATTCACTTTCCTCTAATTTCTTCTGATCAAACTGTAAATTGATTCCATCCTTCTCCTTTTCTTCATCTTTTCCTGCCTCTTCTTCTTGCTGTCTCTCCTCTCCTTTTGTCCCTCCTCTTTATCCTTCATGCCTCCCCTCCCTCTTCACCTCCTAGTACTGGGTTTTTGGTTTGTTTTTTTTTTTAATTTTATGTGTGTGTGTGTGTGTGTGTGTGGCCAGCTCAGCCCACCAGGGGGCAGGGCTGGCTGGCACCTGGTGCTGGGGGATTGAACCACGGTGCCTGTGCTTTGCTAAGCTTGTTCTAAGTAGGTGCTTTAGACCACTGAGCCATCTCACCAGCCCCAGTACTGGGGTTTGAACTCAAGGACTTTATACTTCACTTCATCCCTAGACCTCACTCCTTTTTTAAATAAAATTTTTGAGGCTGGATTTATTGTTGTTTGTTTGTTTGTTTGTTTTGAGACAGGGTTTCACTGTGCAGTTCAGGCTGGTCTTGAACTCACTTTATAGCCCAGGTTGATCCTGAACTCACATCGATCCTCCTGCTAAGCCTCCTGAGTACTGGCATGACAGGTGCGTGCCATCATGCCTGGTTGAGACAGGATCTTACCAAGTCTCTATGGCTGGGCTTGAATTTGATCCTCTTGCCTCAGTCTCCCAGAGTGCTGGGATTGCAGTTGTGTGCCACCATACCTGGCCATTGTCCTTCATAAGGTATGCACTTAGGGCTATATATTTCTCTCTAAACTCTGCCATTGATAGGTCTCACACGTTTTGATAAGTTGAGTTTTCATTTCATTCAGTTCAAAGTATTTTGAAATTTCTCTTGAGACTTCTTTGACCCTGGAAGTGCTAATATAAATGACACATTTTTATAAAAATAACAATATTTTCCAAAATAAAAAGAAAGAAGATTTAACATTTTTGTAAATCTCTTTGCATCTGGCTCAATGGAAGCTGCTGAACTCTTCTTTCTTCTTACTGCTTCTGTCTTTGATGTAGGCTGATAATGACATAGACCTCATACACTCTGGAAAATTCTACTGTATATTTGAGAGAGAGAATGTGAGATAAATGGCAAAAGGTATCTTAGGTTTTTGGGGTTTTTTTTTCTGTACTGGGGATTGAACTCAGGACCTTGCGCTTGCCAGGCAAGCGCTTATTCTACTGAGCTGTCTCCTTGGCCCAGTATCTTACTTAATATTATTCTGAAAATAGTTTTGACCTTGTTGACACTTGCAAAGGTCTTGAACCATCCCAGAATTCTCCTACACCACACTCAGAGAATCACTCCTCTAAAATACTTGACAACTTGTAGACATTACATTTTAACTGGTTTTTGCAACCATTCCACTTATTTTATACCAGAACATGCAAACCTGATTTCTTGACTCTGTATTTGTAGTAGCTATTAAATAAGTTGTCTGGGCTCAACTGTAAGAATCAAGTAATTAAGTGTCAGCACCAGAGGAGCCACCTGGGCTCTCCGAATAATGAGCAGAGGTCGTCTGGAATTACAACATGGTGGCAGAGGACAGAATGGTGCCTAACCAAGCTGGCCCTGAACTCACCTGTGAGAGGGGCTCCATCACCACCAGGAGGCCGGAGGGTGCGGGGTTGCCTCTGTCAGTCATGGCACAAGTCAATGTTTAATTTTTGCACAAGGTTAGCTGAACAGTATGTGCATTTTCTCTTGTAGATCTATAGACTTGCATAACTACTTTAGACATTTACTATTTCAATACTCATCATTTTTGTTCCCCTTTATGGGTTTTTCCCCACCTTGTTTTGGGAAATGATCTCCTTCCAGTAGACGTAAAAAACAACTTACAACAATCATTTAAAATTTTTAATAATTTCCAGGTCCATTATGTTGCTTTCTGGTTATTTCTTTCCTGCATGGCATCTTGGCTACTGTATGTTCTCATATCTGAATGGTAATGTTTGCTTTGTTAGAAATTCCCTGCTATTTCTGCCCATTTTGCCTGTTGCTTATTCCCTCCTTTGTCACTGCTGTGCCACCAGTCTGCAGGCCCAGTGGATACTTCTCTGACCAGAGAAGAGAATTCTTCACTCACAGCAATTAATGTTCCTCTGTCCACTTTCTCTCTTCAAATGCTGGCTTCCTTTCTGTTCTAATTCCTTCTTTGTCCTTGAGATTTTTTTTTTCCTTGTGATTTAAATTCTTTTGCTCTCATTTTAGGGGACACTATAAAGAAGGAAAAGAAAAGCACTTCCATCAAATACCTTTAACTGGAAGCCATTTT